TCACACACGCACGCAAGCACACACACAACCCTAAATTTCCAATCCAAAAGACCGGGAGTCCCCGGTGGTCTCGTGTGTGCGTAGATGACTCTTCATGTGGTCGGGTAGCGAAGGCTTCCTTACACTGTCTCTTCTGCCTAACCGCCTATCCTCTCTAGTCCCATGACTGGAAAGTCGCATGTCGGCATCGCAGATCAAAGCCAAGCGGCAATCAGCGGCATGATTATATGCCTCCAATTCATATTCCACACATACACATACACACACAAGTCTGGACGCAAAATACCGAAAAAATAGCCCGAACCCCACCTTCATCCCCGAATTATTTGTTTTGACAACAAACACCGACGCGTGGCGTGCGTGTGTGTATACTGCGTGCGTGTGTGCTTATGTGTACTAGTCACTCCAAATGGAGATGACCACACGGGTCGGTGGGATTCGGTATAGATCAAAGAGTTTGGCCGCCAAACTGCGTTAAAGACAAAAGACAATCGACTATACCATTGAATTGGAGATCATTCGGTAGGGGAGTTGTGCATCCGTACTCTGTTTGATTGCTTGTCCACAGTTCCGCATACAAACGTTCGTTAATGCGTGCATACTTGCGTACAACACCATGAGTATGAACCTACGAAGCAGTCCGGACCGGTCTCCGCGCCTAATGCGACTGGAGCTTTACATTAATAACCACGACATGACACACTTGTTTCTCACGCTTCGGTCTAAAGGCGTGGGATTGATTGTGAAACGAATGAGCGAGAAAGTCCACCCACTAATTCATTCCAAGGCATGTGACTGTGTGTTTCCTTGGTCGCTTGTGTAGGGAGGCCGGGATAAACAGACACAATAGGCAACTGATACGATTGAACAGTTTGGTTGAGGCATTCAAGACCGAATTGCGGCGGAATGAAAGGAACATTGAGACGAACAGAGGGAGGGAGAGAGTGAGAAAGAGGCACAGCAAACGGTTTTGTCCGCGGGGAGCACGATTTGAACAACTGATGCTCTGTGTATTTTGGGTTAGAAAAACAAATAGGGAATATCTGTGCAATAGAGATTGACGATTTGACTTCGATCAAACAATAATAACCAGACGTGGGGAATATTTTAAAACGAAGTGGTAAGTAGTATAACTCAAGCGCGATTAAACGATCCGAGAAACATCAAATGACCAACCCCAACAGACTTGAAATGACAATGACAATGTTAGATCCATACGACATCGGTCTGATCAACACGAATGGATGGTTCACTTGTAGTCCGGAGTTATTGATGAAAAGAATCATCAAGCTCGGTCGGATGCGATGATCATGTTCTTGAGCTGGAAACCTCTGTTTCCCGAGTCAATAAGCATATGACTGTTTTTCAAACCAACGAAACCTATCACATATGACTACATTTTTACATAGGATATTCGCATTCAGCCAGTTCATTATTCATCGCTCAAACCACATTCTGTCCACACACACACACACACACACACACACACACACACACACACACACAAAGCCCGAATTCAAACGGTCGAGTTCGTGACTACTCATTATTATTACTAGTAGTGGCGACTGTCTGTGACCACTCGGACTGTTCTCTCAAGAGCTCGATTGAAAGTTATCATCTACTGATGTCAATCCGTGTTGATAAACCTTGACTGTTGGCAAATAATTCCATTCCGTTTCATAATTAAGAGACCTATAACTGGGAAATGTTCGACTAATATGGACAATATTAGTTGTGCACATTTGATCAAAAAAATAATATTCAAAGATAACAAGATAACGGGAGACAGCTGACTGTCGTGCATCACAATAGTGAAACATTTGAAGCTCTGTTCACGCACAGGGTATTTTTTATAAACCCTTGTGGTTTTTATCCGCATGGACCTGGGCTGACTTATACATAACCGATCTTTGAGTGTGTGTTGTAGTGAAGAATCGGTCATAAACACGTTTGTTGCGCTTCTCGCAATGCGCCATCAGAGAATCAGCAACAATCGATTCCATTACTTTGACAAAACAGGAAGAGGTGTAACTGGTTTGCAATTGGTAGGATCATTTCTGCCACCACCTTAGTAAGTAGGTGAAATGATACCGTGTTTCCAGGACTGAGGAATCTTTGTCTTGTCGAACATTCTTTGGAATAAATAGGAAATTATTTCAGATATGTGATTTGCCCACAACCTCAAGGTCTGTGGGCGGATGTTGTCTTTCCCTGGAGATGAATTCCTGCACAGTGCCATTAGTTTGGCTTTTACCGTTTCAGATTTGAGGTTGACGGTGGTCAATTGGAGGTATGGGACACTTGACAGAAGGTGGGGAAGCTGTTATCCGCCTTTGTTACCTGTAGTGAACACCTGATAGAACTGGAATTTTAGGAATTCGGCTGCTTCAGAAGTAGTAGTGCAAATGCGTCTAGCATGCCTTATTTCCGGTATTCCGTATTTCACTTTTCTGTATCTAAAAATTGGATACATTCGTATAAAAACTATAAGAACTATATCTTATCATTGTATCAAACACGTGCCAGCAAAGTTAACGTAATTAAGACAAACCCACGAATAACAAGTGGTGATATATATATCTATATGTGTATATAGGGGCAAGTATTGATCGAACTCCCTTGACATGACTCTCTATTTGGAATAACATTTCAGTTTCCATCATCATGACTGTATATCGATAGCTACGGGGGCAGATCTTCTATTCCAAACTTTATCTCCCAATACAATATTCAAGACTATCTTGCACCACCATTTGAATTGGTGTGACCTTGAGTGTCTCAATAAAATTTGAAGTTGTTTGAAAGTTACAACTCAGAATCAAAGAATATTTCACGGAAAGCCGTATAAAAGTTCGTTCTTTCTAACAACCGTTTCTTTATTCCATAAGAAGTGTTTAGTTACGACCATGTTTACGTACACTTAATGCTGTTTTACAGTCCACCTGGTGGACTGTATACAAATCGACTGGCCCCAATTCTCAAAAGTAAAGGTCAAACATGGTATTAAAAAATCAAATCACCGTACTTGTATTATGCTTGTGCATCATTTTTATAACTAAATTCTAGTGATGTTTTTCTTACTGAGGCTTTGTTATTTTTTATCTGATGCATCAGCAATCATCGTCTAGATCGGCAAATCATACGTTTTTAAGATATTTAGCCAAAAGAAGCAAAAACATAAGTGGATATTATCACAGATATGTTATGTCAGATGTCGGGCGATATCATATTCAACTCCGTGAATGAGGCTCAAAACACTAAGGTTTGCGGGGAACAAATCCAAAGAAGGTCAGGATAGTGCATGAGTTCGATCAATACCTATATATATTTCATAATAAGTAGTATATGAAGGACTAGACAAAATTTCCCTGGAAGCACACCACTGGTTTCACGGTTCTTGCCGCTCTTCAGGTATTCGAATCTGGTAATCTTTTGTCAGTTCTGATATATATGTATGCTTCCTCCTCGTTCAGATATTACTTTTTACATGATACTCTGCAAAAGACATTAAGTTAACTTTTTCGTGGTTGGTAGCTTCTAATCGACAAAAGGTAAATTAGAACCATGGCAAAACTCGTTGAATACACTTTTGTCAGATTTCTTCCTTTCTATAGATGTTGTTTAAAAAGCAATACTCATTACCTAATCAGTTCTTTGGTGAATCATGAGTGTTTCTGAACAGTCTGCCGTAACCGACCATTATTTATACCCGATCACTAATATGTCTCCCTTGTGTCCCACGCAGGAGTTTGGATCAGCGCGATTTGAGCCTGTTGTACCAGGTTTTGCTCCCGTCCAATTCCTGTCTCGAATCGTTCATGAACCGCTGTTCCAGCTCCGGGTCCATTTCATTTGATCAATGGCACAACTGCTTTGAAGTACCTCAGGGTAAGTGCATTGGAATGAGCGTTCGGTGTCACAATCCGGTCTACTTTATGGGACTGCCCGATCGATAGTTGCTACTCAGACTCTGGCTTGCTGGCTGGCAGGGCCAGTTGCGATCATTCAAGAGTGCTGTGATGATGTGTATCTTTCACTGGCCACACACACACACACACACACACACACAGGTATGAGTTCTGCTGACCGCAGGTAATGCTTTGTGAAGCATTCTGATGCACAAAAGCCAGGATGGAATGAAATTGTGAATAAGCAATGAAACTATGACACAATCATATAATTTACACAAACATCAATGTAGGTTGCAGTGTTGTGAATTCGGTAGATATTCCATACAACAACTGATAAAGCAATCATGCTGTATTGGCAAAACTCTGATCTCTCTGCTCTACGGTCCCGATAGTTAGTCTGATTGAAACAAGCAATTGCATCGGTGGTCAGCTACAAAACAGGGAGTTCAATATCAGGGGAATAAGAGAAGTCAACTTAAGCAATAAGCAATAAAATAAATGATGCATCTGTTATCTGGATTTGGAATGGTAGAGTTTTTGATTCACATAATTTCCTGGTAACTCAAAGCAGTTAAACGATCAGCAACAACTTACTTGACAATTACTTGGTGGTAGGCAATTTGCTGTCCTTCGGTTCAATGCTATACCTCACCTGGCGGGACGTTACTTCCCCGGGATTAAATTGCAGGTCTCCATCACTGAACAGGTGATCTTCGCAGCTATGGTTTTCACCCCATCTGCTGTTCTTCAAACAAAAGTATGTAATAAAAAGGATTTATATAAATGTAAATAGGGACAGACTGATGCATTTCAAACGACCGGGAGAACAGCTTATTCGGTTTGGTTTATTGGGGTAATCACTGGCTTGATTCTAGCCCTCCTATCTCAGATATGCTTATTATTAAAATCTATACAGACGTATCTAGAATGGCTTGGTGACTGTGACAACATGACTACCCAGGAGCACATCTACACCCATGAACACAGCAACTACTTTGCACACATTTAGGAAACTGACTCCCATAGGAAAATGAACCGGTTTTGGAAAAAATGTTCATTCATTCACAACTTCAGTTATCGTTCGCATAACCATGACTTGACAGCATACTACGTCACTGACCGTAAAATTTGTCTTAGCCCAGGACCCCGGCATTTGTATACACATATCT